CCTAGGACTCACTGAAACCCAGCCTGCACCGCAGACACAGAAAAGCTTTGGGGGAGATGTCAAATGACTGACACCTCCGCCCTTGTGTTTTAATAGTAATGGCCTTGGGGCCAGAAGATTGGGTTCCTGTGAGGGCATGGGACCCTCTGAAGATCAGAATCACTATTCCACCACAAGGTGGCACTCAAAGCCCAGACAGATGGGGCAACAAGCATCTTTTCTCGGCTCAGTAGGACTCAAGAGCAGTTCCCCAGGCACTGAGCCAAAACTTGAGCTCCTGGTTATACAGTTGGTCCATAAAGCCCTTCTACCCACACCCAGTGTCCTGCAGGGGTCCTTGTTGTTCTTTTTAATGCAAAGTCTGTGTGGTTCTTGCTGACTTCAGTCCCTTCCCTAGAGGTGACCCCGATGAAGATCTTGGTCCTGGATATACATAGTGCACACACTTCTGCTCTCCATGCCCTGCCTGGAGTCACTCCTGGGGCTCCGAAGGATCTGAACCCAGTGCTTGAAGTCCTTAGTATGATTTCCAGGTTATGAACCCAGCCCTGTAGGTTATGCAGATGGGATGTCATTCAAACATCTCTATAGTAGTGACCCACTCAGACAAGAATAAGGAAAGGATCAATATTTACTTAGGCCAAAGGGAAAAATTACCAAGAGTAGCTGCAGCTTGAGTGGGGATCCCACACTGCCATGTACTCTAGTGAGGGTGCAGTTTGGATACAGAAGACAGGAAGCAAATCTAAGCCCATCTGAAGAGTATGAGCTTAGACAAAATCAAAAATATTACATTTATAAATGGAGTTGAAAACATTTAAGTCGAGAAGACTCACCTAGATCGTTTGCAAGCCCTAGGTCTGGCATCCTAACCTCAAGTCTCTGGCAAATAGACAACTTAGCCATCTTGAGATAGTAATCACAGATCATGGTCATACATCATCCACGGGAGATAGGAAAACTGCTGCTTTAAGTGGAGAGATGTCCTTTGAACTCCAAGAAGGTTTGGAACTAACAAGGTGGCTTTGTACTATGTCAGCTTAGCTATGATGAAGCCATATGTTTTGGATGACTCAAGGTTAGAATTGGCCACAAGACAACCGTGCGTGAGGTCGGAAAGGCAGAAAGGCAGAATTGAAGCAGCAGCCATGATGCTGTAAAGGTCAGCTTGGAGTGCTAGGACTGCTGCAGCTTTTGTATCTCATTGCTACTCTTCTGGTTCACTTTGTGGGCATGGGTAGCAGCCAGTCCCACAGGGCCTCCAGCTCCTGTCAGATCTCTTCCATCTAACTTCCTTCAGGCTCTAACTCCATGTATGCATCACCAGGTCCCTGTGCAGACATCCCAGACCATCAGGGTTGGGGTGGTGAGGGACAGATACAGATTCCACTTGGCCCTTGCCCTCCCCAACTTCACATCCAGTATTTCTTCCCCACTGACCTGTGACGATTTCAGGCCCACCACAGATGCAGAGGTAACAGACATCCATAGATCCATCACCAGTTCCTTATTCCATGTCACCCATAGTGGTTTTTCTTCTCAGGACAAACCTTCACTGATACAAATCAAAAGTGGGGCGCCTGGGTGGCTCAGTCAGTTGGGCAGTGGACTTTGGCTCAGGTCACCATCTCACAGCTCGAGAGTTCGAACCCCACTTCGGGCTCTGTGCTGACAGCTGAGAGCCTGGAGCCTGCTTTGGATTCTGCGTCTCCCTCTCTCTCTGCCCCTCCCTAACTCATGTTCTGTCTCTCTCTCTCTCTCTCTCAAAAATAAATAAACATTAAAAAAATTTTTCTTAAAAATCAAAAGTGATGCAGCAAATCAAACTCATGCTAAGTTTCAAATAAGTTTGAATCATTGGGAAAAATCTATGTATATTTTGTATTTAAAGCTTTGGTAATGCTTGGGGCACCTGGGTGGCTCAGTCGGTTGAGCGTCCAACCTCGGCTCAGGTCATGATCTCACAGTCTATGAGTTCGAGCCCCGCATCAGGCTCTGTGCTGATAGCTCAGAGCCTGGAGCCTGCTTCCGATTCTATGTCTCCCTCTTTCTCTGCCCCTCCCCTGCTCATGCTCTGTCTCTCTCTGTCTCAAAAATAAATAAAAACATTTAAAAAAAATTTTTTTTAAAGCTTTGGTAATGCTTAAAAGAATTTAACATAGTAGTGTTATAAGATTAGCCTCATTATTTTATTAAAAACGTGGAATTGATATGTAGAATCTAAAAAACAAAGCTAACAGAACAAAACAAAACCCAGACTCATTGTTACAGAGAATAGATGGGTGGTGGCCAGTCGGGAGAGGGTTGGGGGGGAAAACAAAATGGGTGAAGGGGGCCAAGAAGTACAAACTTTCAGTTTTAAACTAAGTCGTTGGGACATGATATAAAACATAAGAAATATAATGAACAATATTGTATTAATTTTGTATGGCGACAGATGGTAAGATTTATTGAAGTGATCATTCCATAATATATACAAAGGTTGAATCCTATGTTGTACACCTGAAATACCTAATAATGTTGTATGTCAATTATACTTCAAAATAAATAAGTAAAAAACAAACAAACAAATAAATGGAAAAAATCAGAGGAGAAAATACAATTTGTAGGTGATAATAAAAATCTGAAATAAAAAAAATGTGTACTGATTTTCGATTAGTGATTCTAAGTTCAAGCATGTAAAAGGCGTTACTATAAACAGAATTACCATGTTTGAGGGAACTTATGATTCACTATGGCTAAACATTTATTAGACTTACAAAAACCATTTAAGTATTTAGGAAGTTTTTTCTTGTTAGTGTCAATACGCTTATCCAGTCATGCAGCTAAGCACTCCAAAAGAAAACCAGATATTTGAGATTTAGATATGTAATTTAAAATATTTAAAACATTCAGTGGGCTATAGTTGTATGTGAAATTGTTCGTGGAATTTAGACTCTTCAGTTTAAGTTAATCAAATGTTAATGTTAAAAAAGTGAAGATTATTGGAGGGATTCTAGGAAGATGGTAGCATAGAAAGCACCAGAAATCTGGCTCCTCTCCTAGACAACATCTGCACTGGCAGAATCGTGTAGCTGTTTTGGAGTCTGTTGAAGGCCTTCAACTTCCAGGGAAAGACTTGGATGGTAAATTATGGTTAATTTTGGTCAATTTCAGCTACTATCACAGTAGCAACTATCCATTCCCTGTCCCTAGCCACATGACAGGCAGCTGTGCACATGTTCTTGGAGCAGGTTGCACACAGCTTGGGGGAGCTGGGCCAGGCAAAAAAGACACCATCTTATAAATATCAGCAATCTATGCTCTGATAGCTAACTGCTGCTTCTGGTCAGAGAGGTGCAGATAAAGAGGCAGGAGGCTCTGTTTGTGCAACTCCCCCAGTTGTTGCAAGGTGCTCCCTCTGTGGATGAAATTTTGTCAAGGGGACTTAAAAGGCTAGTGCCCTTCCTGCCTTAATTTTTCACTTTTTTCCCCTTTCAGGAGCCAGACACTGACAACTAGCACATTTAAAAACAACTGCATATTTGGGGAAAACTGGAAAGTGACAATGTATGCCCAGGGAAAGGCTGAGAAAAGATCTGAGAAAACTTTAAGTTTGTATCTCAGGCTGATACTCAGTGCAGAGAAAGCTAACAACAATAAAAAAAAAAAAAAAGACCCTGAGGAAGGGAAAGAATCTGATTTCCAGAGTTAACCACATTATTAGATTCATATGTCCAATGTTCAACCAAAAAAAAAAAAATCACAAGACATATAAAGACACAGCAAAGTATAGCCCATTCCAAAAAAAAATTGATCAACAGAAACTATCTCTGAAAAAGACCTAATGGAAGATAAAATGCTCAAAGAACTAAAGGAAGATGTGGAGAAAGTCAAGAAAACATAGTGTTGAATAAATGGAAATTTCAACAAAGAGACAGAAAACTTGAAAAGAAACCATGAAGAAATTCTGGAGCTGAAAAGTACAATAACTGAAATGAAAATGTAACTAGAGGGATTCAAAGGCAGATCTGAGTAGGCAGAAAAAAGAATCAATGAACTTGAAGATAAATCAATAGAAATTATCAGGTCTGAGGAATAGGGGAAAAAAATGATGTCTTGTAGGACAACAACAAGAGAATCAACATATGCATCAAAGGGGTCCAGAAGGCCAAGGGGGAGAGAGAAAAGGGAAGAAAGAATATTTAAGGAAATAATGGCTGGAAATTTCCCAAATTTGATGAAAGACATAAATATCAGCATCCAAGAAGCTCAGTGAACTCCAAGTAAGATAAATTCAAAGAGACCCATACCAGGACACATATAATCAAACTTTTAAAAAGCAAAAACAAAAAGAATCTTGAAAGCAGTGAGAGAGAAGCAAATCATCCCATAAAGAGGGTGCTCAATGAGATTATCAGCAGATTTCTCATCAGAAACTTTGGAGGCCAGAAGGCAATGGGCCAATACCTTCAAAGTACTAAAAGAAAAAAAAATCAACAAAGAATACTATATCCAACAAAACTATCCTTCAAAAGTAAGAGAGAAATTAAGACATTCTTAGGTAAACAAAAGCTGAGGGGCTTCATGACCACTAGACCTGCCCTGAAAGACAGGGAGTCTGGCAAGGTGAAAAGAAAGGACACTAGACAGAAACTCAAAGCTGTACAGAGAAATGAAGACCTCAATAAGGGTAAATACATGGGCAATTATAAAAGTTAGTATTATAAAAGTGGTCTATAGCTTCACTTTTTGCTTTGATTTAAGAGATCAATACATTTGAAGAAAAAAAGCAACTATTATAGTGGAAAGGCTAGTATTACTTTAACTTCTGGTTTGTGACTTCAAATATTGTTTTCTAGGGGCACCTGGGTGGCTCAGTCAGTTAAGCATCTGACTTCAGCTCAGGTCATGATCTCACAGTCCGTGAGTTTGAGCCCCACATCAGGCTCTGTGTTGACATCTCAGAGCCTGGAGCCTGCTTCAGATTCTGTGCCTCCCTCTCTCTCTGCTCCTCCCCTGCTCATGCTCTGTCTCTGTCTCAAAAATAAATGAAAACATAAATAAATAAATAAATAAATAAATAAATAAACAAACAAACAAATATTGTTTTCTACATAATGTAAGAAACTAATGCAGTTAAAAAAAATACTAGTTTAGGGGCACCTGGGTGGCTCAGTCGGTTAAACATCTGACTTTGGCTCAGATCATGATCTCATGGCTCATGAGTCCAAGCCCCAAAATAAATAAATAAACTTAAAATAAAGATTAGCTTATGTTTTGGGGTACACAATGTATAAAAAGTGACAACAACAACTGAAAGGGGCGGAGATGAGCTGTAAAGGAGTAGAGTTTTCGTATGCTATTTAAAATGGTATAAGTTCAAACCAAAGTGTTTAGGATGTTAAATACAAGCTTCATTTCACCACAGTATTTCATCATTGCACTAAATATTTCACTGTATAAAAATCAACTAAGCATATGGGCGCATGGGTGGCTCAGTTGGTTAAGCATCCAACTTTGGCTCAGGTCATGATCTTGTTGTTTGTGGGTTCGAGCCCTGCATCAGGCTCTTTGCTGACAGCTCAGATCCTGGAGCCTGCTTCTGATTCTGTGTCTCCCTCTCTCTCTGCTCCTCTCCCCACTGTGCTCTGTCTCTGTCTCTCTCTCTTGGAAATAAATGAACATTAAAAAAAATTTTTTTTTAAATCAACTAAGCACAAAAAAAGAAAAATTCAGGAAATAAGGTACAAAAAAGCTATAAGGCATATAGAAAGCATATAGGGCAATGACAAAAGAAACCCCTCCTTATGAGTAATTACTTTAAAAGTAAATGGATTAAAGTCTCCAATGAAAAGACAGAGATTGGCAGAATGGCTGAAAATACATGATCTGACTCAATGTTGTCTATAACAGAATCACTTGAGATCCAAACACACAAACAGATTGAAAGTGAAAGAATGGAAAAAGATATTTCATGCAAATAAATAACCAAAAGAGAACAAGAATGGCTATGCTTACATCAGACAAAACAGACTTTTAGCCAAAAAAAGGTTACAAAAGACAAAGGTTAATATATATTAATAAAAAGTTCAATATTTCAAGAAGATATGACAATTATAAACATTTATACACCTAATGACAGACGATCAAAATATAAGAAGCAAAAACTGACAGAACTGAAGGGAGAAATAGACCGTTCTACAATGATAGTTGGAGACTTCAAAATCCCACTCACAGTAATGGGTAGAACAACCAGAGAATAAGGAAGCAGAGATTTACACAACACAATAAACCAACTAGAACTAACAGACATGTACAGAACACCCTACCCAATAACAATAGCATACACATTCTTCTCAAGTGTACATGGAGCATTCCCCAGGATAGACCATATATTAGGTTACACATTAAGTCTCAATAGATTTTTTAAAAATTTTTTAATGTTTATTTATTTTTGAGACAGAGACAGAGACAGAGACAGAGTGTAGGTGGGGGAGGGCAGAGAAAGAGGAATACCCAGAATCCGAAGCAGGGTCCAGGCTCTGAGCTGTCAGCACAGAGACTGACGCAGGGCTCAAACTCACAGACTGTGAGATCATGACCTGAGCTGAAGTCAGATGCTCAACGAACTGAGTCACCCAGGTGCCCCAGTCTCAATAGATTTTAAAAGGTAGATATCATACAAATTATCTTTTTTGACTATAATGAGATGAAGTTAGAAATTAATAACAAAAGGAAAACTGAAAAATTCACAAAATTATGGAAATTAAGCAATACACTATTAAACAACAAATAGATCAAAAAAGAAATCAAAAGTGCAATTAGAAAATACTTAGACACAAATGCAAATAAAATCACAACAGGGGTGGCTGGGTGGCTCAGTTGGTTAAGTGTCTGACTCTTAGTTTTGGCTCAGGTCATGATCCCATGGTTCACGACTCCACATCAGGCTTTGTGCTGACAGTGCAGAGCCTGCTTGGGATTCTCTCCCTCTCCCTCTCTCTGACCCTCCCCTGCTCATTCTCTCTCTCTCTCTCTCTCTCTCTCTCTCTCTCTCTTTCTCTCAGTAAACAAGTAAACTTCAAAAAAAAACACAACATACCAAAATTTTGGTTTTTGGTGTGTGTGTGTGTGTGTGTGTGTGTGTGTGTGTGTGTGTTGATTTAAATTTTTCTTTAGGAGAGGGAATATCATACTTCTCAATTAAGAGAAACATTTTTAGAGTCTAGAGTCTCTCTCTCTCTCTCTCTCTCTCTCTCTCTCTCTATATATATATATATATATATATATATATATATATATATATCATGCCATGAATTCATAGGTAATGGGTTCCAGCAGCTAAGTGTGCTTCTCTGGGTGGAGCAGGCTGGTACTTCAATTGAACCCAAGTAGGTTTCTCTTTGACTTCCTTCCTTTTCTAATCATTTTCCTTCACATGCTTCAGGAAGCTATCTCAGCTCTTAGAGTGCTTAATATTTAAGCTCAACACGTAGATTAAAATTCTCATGGCAAGAATCAAACCCTGTAAGCATGTTTGTTTACAACAATGCCAACAGCATGCTGGGCAACATTGTAGACTCTTCCAGTTTGCCATGGTAACATCCATGGGGCATTCCCTTTTGAATAGTACCCGTTCCCTTGATGTCTACAATATCACCTTTCTTGTAGATTCACGTGCTAGTGGCCAAAGGAACAACTCTGTTTTCTAAAAGGTCTAGAGAACGTATAGCAGGTGCCTCCTCTTTCTCTTTGTTTTGGTCATTCTGGCAAATTACCAGAAGATGGTGGTTCTAGCCAAAAGGTTCATACCAAAACTTGGGGGATGCAATGAATGTGGTACTATGGGGTAAATTTATAGCTGTAAATGCTCACGTTAAAAAGAAAATAAGATGGGGTGCCTGAGTGGTTCAGTCAGTTGAGCTCAGGTCATGATCTTGCATTTGCAGGTTCAAGCCCCACATTGGGGTCTGTGCTGACAGCTCAGAGCTTTGAACCTGCTTCAGATTCTGTCTCCCTCTCTCTCTGCCCCTCCCTTGCTCACACTCTGTCTCTCAAAAAATAAAATAAAACATTTAAAATTTTTTAAATAAGAAAAATCTGAAATCAACAACCCAACTTTACAACTTAAGTAACTAGAAAAAGGGGAACAGGGGCACCTGGATGGCTCAGTCAGTTAAGCATCCAACTCTTGATTTCGGCTCAGATCACGATCTCATGGTTTGTGCTGACAGCGTGGAACCTGCTTGAGATTCTCTCTCTGCCCCTCCCCTGTTCTCTCTGTCTCTTTCTTTCTCTCAAAATAAGTAAATAAACTTAAAAAAAAAAAGAACAAACCAAACCCAAAGCTAGCAAAAGGGAGGAAATAACAAAGATTAGAGCAGAGATAAACTAAATAGGAAATAGAAAACCAATAGAGAAAATCAATGAAACCAAAACTTGGTTTTTTCAAAAAGACCGACAAAATTGACAAACATTTAGTTAGATGGACTACAAGAAAAAGAAAACTCAATTACTAAAATCAGAAATGAAAGTGGAGCATTACTACCTATTTGACAGGGGGAAAAGGCTTATAAGAGAGTACTATGAAAATTGTACACTAACAAGTTGGATTACCTAGATGAAAGGAACAAATTCTTAGAAACACAAGACATACCCAAAACTAGAATATCTGAATAGACCTATAACTAGTAAGAAGATTGAATCTGTAGTCAAAAATCTCCCAACAGGGCACCAGGCTGGCTTAGTTGGTAGAGTATGCAACTCTTGATCTTGGGGTTGTGAGTTCAAGCCCCACATTCGGTGTAGAGATTGCTTGAAAATAAAATCTTAAAAAAAAAATCTCCCAATAAAGAAAAGCCCTGAACCTGGTGACTTCACTGATGAATTTTACCAAACATTTAAAGAAGAATTAATACCAGTCCTTCTCAATTTTTTTTTTAATTTAAGAGGAGGGAAGACGACTTGTTTTTTGTTTTTTGTTTTTTTTAAGATTTTATTTTTTTAAGATTTATTTTGGGTGTAATCTCTACACCCAACATAGGGCTGGAACTCACAACTTCAAGATCCAGAGTCACATGCTCTACTGACTGAGCCAACCAGGTGCCCTAATGAGGAAACACTTCTTAACTCATTCTATGAGGCCAATATTACCCAGACACCAAAGCCAAAGACATTACAAGAAAAGATAACTACAGACCAATATCCCTTATGAACATTGATGCAAAAAAAAAAAAAAATTCTCAACAAAATGCTAGCAAATAAAATTCAGCATATTAAAAGGATTATAAGGGCACCTGGGTGGCTCAGTTGGCTGAACATCCAACTCTTGATTTAGGCTCAGGTCATGATCTCACAGTTTATGAGGTCAAACCCCATGTAAGGGTCTGCACTGACAGCAGAGAGCCTGATTGGGATTCTCTCTCTCCTTCCCTCTGTCTTTCTCTTTCTCTCTCTCTCTCAAAATAAATGAATAAATAAACTTTAACAAAAAGGATTATACACCATGATATAATCTTACCATACACCATAATCTTTTAGGTGATACACCATAAGGTGTACACACTTTAATCTTCTTAATCTTCACCATACACCAATCTTAATCTTCAGATACACCATAATCTTCTAGGTGAGATTTATTCCTAGAATGCAAAGTTGATTCAACATATGAAAATCAATCAATGTAATATGCCACACATCAACAGAATGAAGAGGGAAAAAAGACACATGATCATCTCAATTAATGCAGAAGAAACATTTGACAAAAATCAACACACTTTCATGATAAAAATACCTCCCCCCAAAAAAGAATAGAAAGGAACTACCTCAACGTAATAAAGTCCATATATGAAAAGCCCACAAAAATACCATACTCAATGGTGACTCAAAGCTTGTCTTGTACAACAAGAAATTACCTAAAGAATGCCCACTTTCACCACTTATATTTCACACAGTACTGGAAGTTTTAGCCAGAGCAATTAGGCAAGAAAAAGAAATAAACAGTATCCAAATTGGAAAAAAGAAGTAAAATCATCTTTGTTTGCAGATGACATGATCTTATATGTAGACAACCCTAAAAATTACATACACACAAAGTTGTTAAAACCAATGAACTCAGTAAAGTAGCAGGATACAAAGTCAACACACAAAAACCACTTGCATTTCTATGCACAAATGATGACCAATCTAAAAAACCAAGTTACAAAACCTATTTAATTTACAATAGCTTCAAAAAGAATAAAATACTAAGGAATTAACTTAACCAAGGAGGTAAAAGGCTTGTACAATAAAAACTACAAAACATCGCTGAAAGAAATTAAAGACATAAATAAAACACATTCCATGTTTGTGGATTGGATGACTTAATATTGTTAAAATATCAATATTACACAAGGTGATCTATAGATTCAATGGAATCCCTATCAAAATCCCAATAATATTTTTTGCAGAAATAGGAAAACCCACACTAAAATATATGTGAAATCTCAAGAGACCCAAATAGCAAAAACAATCTTGAAAAAGAACAAACTGGAGAACTCACACTTGCTGATTTCAAAACTTACTACAAAGCTAAAGTAATCAAAACAGTGTGGTATTGGCATAAAGACAAACATAGACCAATGGAACAGAATAGACAGCTCAGAAATAAACCTTTGTACATACGTTTTTTTTTTTTTTTCAAATGATTTTGACAAGGGTGCCAAGACCATTCAATGGGGAGAGAACAGTCTTTTCTACAAATGGTGCAGGTAAAACTGGATGTCCACATGCAAAAGAACAAAGTTAGACCCTCATCTGTTAACTTAAAATGGATCAAGGACCTACATGTAAGACCTAAAACAATAAAAATCTTCAAAGAAAACACAGGAAGAAAGTTTCACAACACTGGTTTGGCAATGATTTCTTAGATATGACATCAAAGGCATGGGTAATAAAAGAAAAATACACTGAAAGTCATATGGTCACAAAAAGACAAATACTGTAGGATTCCACTTACATGAGGTACTTAGAATAGACAACATTATAAAGACAAAAAGTAGAATGGTGGTTGCCAAGGGTTGGGAGTAAGGGAGAATGGAGAGCTTTTGTTTAATGGATATAGTTACAGTTTTAAAAGATGAAGAAAGTTATAAAGATGATAATAGATGGTAATAGTTGCACAACAATGTAAATGTATTTAATACCACTGAACTGTATACTTAATGGTTAAGATAGTGAATTTTGTTATGTGTACTTTACCACAATAAAAATGTGCTCCCAAAAGTGAAGATCGTTGCCTTTGTTTTACTATATTATAAATAATCAAACAAAATCTATAGGCTGCAATTAAAGAAAAGCAATAAGTAAGATTTTCAAATTTATTTAGATTCAAAATAGAATAATAAAAATTGTAATTCAAACTTAAAAAGCATCAGAAAATTAGATTTTGACATTGATTACTTTAATAAACTAATATTTGTTTAAAATTCTAGTAACTACGCATAGCCTATTTTTCTATGCTCTCAAATATAAAACATATAAACTTGCAACATCTTACTTCTTGCAACTGTCCCTAGCCAGCCTGTCCCATTTCTGTGGCATGAAATGTAATGGGGTCTTCTCAGCCCCAGAATCCTCCACATTGCCCATCCTAAAGCTCCCATTGCTAACTCTGAGCTCTAGTAAAGGAGAAATTTGTCCCACAGGCCTTCCTTATACCTCTTCCTGAAGGATTTCTCCACCCTTTCCCTTCCATTATTAGCTCTGTGACACTTCAGGAATCCTGAGCTCTCACATTGCCCCAACCCCTAGAAGGAAAAGAGTTTGATGATCAACTCCTACTCCCAGAAGTATTTACTAACACCTTCTGTGTCAAGCCCTCGGCAGGGTGTGTCCCCCCATGTTACCACACTTGACCGCTCACATCTACCCTGTGAGGCAAGCTTCAGCATCCTCATGTTACAGTGGAAACAGACTCACAACTTGAGTCACTGGCCCAGCTAACAAGTGATCGAGAAGAGAAATGGCCTTGGACATAGCCTAGGCAGCACAGATCTACCTTGACCGGTCCTCCGCTTCTCAAATTCTTACCATCTGGTTGATCCTTATACCCCCTCCCAGATTCCTCTGACCCATCCCCTCCCAACCTCCAGGACTCTGCCTGTGCCTATCACCCTCAACATTCCTCTATGGACAAGAGGCTTCACCAAAGGAGGAAAGATTCTGGCCCAATTTGCAGGTGAGAGAGAAGGTTGTCACAGCCCTTGCTCTTCAGGAATAACTTCAGCGGTGCCCTTAAAACCATGAAGGTGAAGAGGGTCAGGAGAAGCAACTGTAAGAGAAGGGGAAGCCCTGGCCACCAACCCACTCTCTTCCTCTCCCAGTTGAGGAAGGCTTCAGAAGCAGAGGGAGCGTGGGGAAGATGAGTCAGATATATTTCCCTTTTGCATCACAGAATCAAACTCTCCATCTGTGACTTCAGACAAGTTCCAAGCAAGCCCAAGCAATGGCCCACAGGGTGTGACAGCAACACGCCTACGGCACAAGGCATCCCTTTCCAACTCTGTGGGGAAAACCACTGCCTCTCTCAAAAGCCAACACGCTTCACGAGCAATGAACAATTAGAAAATGAAACTAAGACAAAAATTTCATTTACAAAAGCACGAAAAAGAATAAAATACTTAGGAATAAACTTCACGGAGAAAGTGTAAGGCTTGTACACTGAAAACTACGATTCCGATTCTGTGTCTCCCTCTCTCTCTGCCCCTCCCCCATTCATGCTCTGTCTCTCTCTGTCCCAAAAATAAATACATGTTGAAAAAAAAATTTTTTTAAATAAATAAATAAATAAATAAATAAAAACTACGAAATGTTCAGAGACAGTAAAAGAGACCTAAATAAAAGAAAAGATACCTTGTGTTCATGGATTAGAAGACTTATTAGTATTAGGATGACAATACTCCCCCAAATTAATGTACAGATCCAATCCAACCCCTATAAAAATTTCAACTGCCTTGTTTTGCTGAAATAGACACAAGCTAATCCTAAAATTCATATGGAAATGCAAGAAACACCAAATTGCCAAAATTATCTTGAAAAAGAAGAAGTCAGAGGACTCACACTTTCTGATTTCAAAAATTACTACAAAGCTACAGTAGTTAAAACAGTGTGGTACTGACATAAAGAGACATATAGATCAATGGAATCAATTCAAGAAGTCAACCCATGTATCTATAGCCAATTGATTTTAACAAAGATGCCAAGACTATTCAATGTGAACAGAAATGCCTTTTCAACAAATAGTGCCGGGACAATGTATATCCACAGGCAAAAGAATGAAGTCGGACCCCTACCTCAAAGTGTATACAAAAAAATAACTCAAAATCAATCAAAAAAATAAATGTAAGAGCTAAAACCATAAAAATGTTAGAAAGAAACAGATATAAATCTGCTTGACCTTGGATTAGACAACAATTTCATATGACACCAAAATCATAAGAAAAAAATGCCAACAAAAGAAATTGGACTTTATCAAAATTAAAAACTTTTATGTATCAAGGCTACTCCCAAGAAAGTGAAAAAATAATCCATCAAGTGGAGAAAATATGTGCAAATCATATATCCAATAAGGGTCTAGTATCCAGAGTATATAAAGAATCTCTTACAACTCAACAAATAATCCAATTTAAACATGAACAAAGGAATAGACATTTCTCAAAGAAGATATACAAATGGTCCGTAAGCACATAAAAAAATGCTAAGTACCATTAGTCTTAGGGATATGCATATCAAAACTATAATGAGATACCCCTTCATTCTAACTGGGGTAGGTCTAATTTTTTAATGGAAATTAACATGTGTTGGTAAGCATGCAGAGAAACTAAAATCTTCATGTACCATTGATAAGAATGCAGAATGGTTCAGTTGCTATGGAAAACAGTTTGTCAGTTCCTTAAGAAGTTAAACATAGAGTTACTATATGACCCAGCAATTCCAATCATAGGTTATACCCAACATATGTTCACACAAAACTTGTGCATGCTGTACTTGTATCAACATGAATGTTGATAGCAGCATTACTCATAATAGTCAAAAAAGTGGAAACAACCCAAATGTCCACCAACTGATAAATGGATAGACAAAATGTGGTATATCCATCAATGGAATATTATTCAGCCATAAAAAGGAATGAGTACTGATGTTACATGCTACAACATAGATAAAATTTGAAGATATGATGCTAAAGTGAAAGAAGCCACATAAAAATGACCCCATATTATATGACTCCATTTACATGAAATGGTGAGAATAGGCAAATCTATAGACACAGAAAATGGCTTGGGGGGGGTGGAGGAGGGCAGAGAGGGGAGGGAACAAGTGGGACTAACTGTCAATGAGTATGGGGTTTCTTTTAGGAGAGATGGGAATGTTCTCGAATTAGATAGTGGTGCTATTTGCCCAACTTTGTGAAAATCCTAAACACAACTGAATTGCACATATAAAATAGTTGAACTTTTTTTTTTTTTTTTTTGAGACAGAGAGAGAGAGAGAATCTTAAGCAGGCTTCACACCCAGCACAGAGCCTAACACCAGGCTCAACCCCACAACCGTGAGATCATGACCTGAAACAAAAATCAAGAGTTGGACACTTAACCGACTGAGTCATCCAGGCACCCCCCGTTATAAAATGATTAAAATGTTTAATTTTATCTCAACTTAAAAAGAGTCAACATGCACCAAGGAGTCCTTCAGTCTGGGCTCGAGGTCAGTATAGATCTTAGGAAGGCATCTGATGCTGAAACAGAGGAGTCTAAATAAAGGTCAGCCAAGTCCCAACATCCAGCTCCCAAATGAGCTAAGAAATACCACCTTTGAGCAGATCTGAAGTGTCCTGAGGCTTGTTAAGATGCGGGGACAAGAATGACTTCCCCTGCCACCAGGTGGCTTCTCTCAGCTCCTAGGGAGATGGCGAACATCTGAAGGGATCCACGGGATTGGCAGAGGCCCTGAAGGTTGGGTCACAAAGCAGAGGATTTTGTAGAGAAGAGCCAAGAGTGGACTTTAGAACATTGGTGGCGTCACAAGGATAAAGACATCACAAAAGAGGAGATACAAGCGGCCAATAATTGTGGAAGACATTTGACCTCACTGGCAATCAAAAGAACATACACGGAGACAACAATGAGACAGCATTTTCCCCCAATTAGATTGTCAGAAATGGTTTGCTAATATGAAATTTGGCAGGATGTGAGGAAATATGTGTTCTCATTCCACTGCTGGTGGGTGTGTGAGTTGGTAGAGCCACTTTGGAGGGCAACTTGCCAGTATCTATTAAAGTGAAAAATATTCATACCCTATGACTCAGCGATTCCAATGCCCAGTATTTATTCTTAAGACACACTCCCACATGCACGGGGAGGTATGAAATGTTTATACGACACCATTTGTTATAATGAAATGTTTTGGGCAGGGGAGTGTTCATGAACAGGAGAATGGCTAAAAACCCTATGTACATCCATTGTCTATTTAACAAAATGAGTAGCTCTATATCATAAAATGATCTCCAAGCTATGTTATTGGATTTAAAAAGCAAATTCTAGAATGATATATATCGCTTATGAGAAAACAAAACCCAAAACACCAGTGTGTGGAAGCCCTTGGAGATTTCTGAGGAGCAGGCTGAGATGCTAGGCCAAGTAAGAATCCTTTACCCAGGCGCCTGCGTGGCTCAATCGGTTAAGTGCCCAATTCTTGATTTCAGCTCAGGTCTTGATCTCACAGTCATGAGATTGAGCCCCTCATTGGGCTCCGCTCAGTGCGTAGCATAAATAAATAAGTAAATAAACCTTAAAAAAAAAAGAATCTTTTCTTCATCTGGACAAAGATGAGCTTTAAAAGCAACACATGAAGAGCATAAAATCGCCAGGCTTGGGACTGTTTCACTTCCAAGAGATAATTTTTTTGTTGTTTTGTTTTTTGTTTTGGGGATTTTTTTTTAGCCTCTTTTTTTAAGTTTTACATATTAAGTAATCTCTACACCCAGTGTGGAGCTCGAACTCACAGCCCCGAGATCAAGAGTCATGCACACTCTTCCAACTGAGCCAGCCAGGCGTCCCCCATGAGATAATTTTCTAATAAGTGGCGAAAACCAATGGATGATTTGTTCCTCAGGCTTTATATCTTATTCTGTATTAGGAGAATTGCTGCTGGTTTGTGTAATATTTACTTTAGAGAAAAGAGGTAAACTGCCATGCCCCAAATAAGAAAGGAAAAGTTAAAATCAGGTGTCCTCACCGTCAATTATCTCAGGTATGAAAGAGGGGTGTAAGACCTTGCTAGGGAGAAGTAATGACCACCTGCTACATGTGAGGCTTTTCACCCACCTCCTGGGAGACAAGGGATCTTCCCTGCTCTGACAAATTCAAGGAGAGGGTCCTCAGTAGGAGAGGGACTGGGATCAGAGTAAGAAATCTTTGATTATCACTTAATAATATTTAAATAGAAAATAAAGGGTACTAGGGGCACCTGGGTGGCTCAGTCGGTTGAGCGTCCAACTTTGGCTTGGGTCATGATCTCATAGTTCGTGAGTTGGAGCCCCACATCGGGATCCATGATGACAGTTCAGAGCCTGGAACCTGCTTCGGATTCTGTGTCTCCTCTCTCTCTGCCCCTCCCCTGCTTGCTCTCTCTCTCTCTCTCTCTCTCTCTCAAAAGTAAATACACATTAAAATAAATTTTAAGAAAAGAGACTAAAAAAATAGAAAAGAAAAGAAAAAACAAAAGATTTTGCTAGAAAGATCCACCTGATTTTTTGCTGACAGATGTCTGTCTGCAGAGGTTGTGCTCTTCCATTCTCTGCTGTATAAAAAGAGCCACCTGGGTGGCTCAGTCCGTTAAGCGTCTCACTTCGACTCTGGCCATGATCTTATGGTTTCATGAGTTTGAGCCCCACATCTGGCTTGCTGCTATCAGCACAGAGCAGGATTCGGCTCCTCTGTCCCCTTCTCTCTCTGACCATCCCCTGCTCGTGTGCACACTATCTCAAAAATAAATGAGCATTTAAACGTTAAAAAAAGATTTTTTTAAGGGGGGCCCTCTGGGTCACTCAGTTAAGTGACCAACTTGGGCTTAGGTCATGATCTCGCAGTTCCCGGGGTTCCAGCCCCACGTCGGGCTCTGTGCTAACAACAGCTCAGAGCCTGGAGCCTACTTTGGATTCTGTGTCTCCTTCTCTCTCTGCCCTCCCCCGCTAGTGCTCTCTCTCTGCCTCTCAAAAAATAAACAAACGTTTAAAAAATTTTTAATAAAAAAATAACGAATAACATTTAAAAATAAAAATTAAAAAAAGAACCTGTTTATTACCATACAGAGTAACAAGAGAAAGGGATCTTCCCTCATTTTTGGTCATGAACATTCCTAAAATAATAAAACATATACACATATAATTTATTTGTTTGTTTAGAAAAAGTTCTGGAAGAATAGTTGCTAATTTGAAACAGTGATACCTCTGAGCAGGCAGAGAGAGAACGAAGGCTGGAGGAGAAAACTGATCAAAGGGATTTTGAGGCTTATCTAGAATTGTTTCATTTGTTTTTTCCATTTTCACTTCTAATATTTTAAATACAAAAGGAGATAAAGTTGCGGAAAACAAAGATAATGTTATTTTTACTTATTTACAACATAAAAGATCTTTTTGCTCCCACTAAAATAGTAATATATAACAAAATTTTATACAACATAAATATATTCAGAAATATTTAGTAAGAACACTGTGTTTTAGTGTGTCTGTCTCATTTTTACAAACTCTTGCTTCAATACTTTATATATAGTGATTGGTAGATCTGAATCTAAGTTCAAATATTTGGTTGTTTTGAGGTATTTTTAATATTTTTTGGGGGGGAGAGCACAAGCAGGGGAGGGGAAGAGAGAGGGGGACAGAGGATCTGAAGCAGGCTCTGCGCTGACAGGCTGATGGCAGTGAGCCCGAGGTGGGGCTCAAACCCACAAACCTGAGATCATGACCTGAGCTGAAGACATATGCTCAACTGACTGAGCCTCCCAGGTTGGCCCCAAATATTTGGTTTTAATGATTGAGTTAGACGAAGGTCAAACTGCTTCAGGTGTGTTTTCTTTGAATCATGAGTCCATTTTCCACAAGGCTTTTTCTGTTGGAACACTTGGTGGACTAGGTTGAGGACATGTCCCCTTAAAGTAGCTTTGCAGTTTATTTTATCAGACATTTTATTTATACATTTATATAAATACCTTTATATAATTTATATTCTTAACTCTTTTCATTGTGAACTATATCCAGTATACAAGATACTATCCAGTTTGGTTTTTTTTTAATTTTTTTTTCAACGTTTATTTATTTTTGGGACAGAGAGAGACAGAGCATGAACGGGGGAGGGGCAGAGAGAGAGAGAGACACAGAATCGGAAACAGGCTCCAGGCTCTGAGCCATCAGCCCAGAGCCCGACGTGGGGCTCGAACTCCCGGACCGCGAGATTGTGACCTGGCTGAAGTCGGACGCTTAACCGACTGCGCCACCCAGGCGCCCCGATACTATCCAGTTTTAACAATATTGAAAACCTATGCTAAGATTGTAATATTAGCAGAACCTCAGAAGCTTCCTGATCATACCCTTCCTTCCCCAACAGGCGGGACCAGCTCTGGGCTGTGTCCATCACTCCCTTAACTTCTCTTTCCAGTTCTACCATCTATGTGTGTATCCCTGAACAGCAAACTGTTTAGTTTTGCCTGTTTGTGTACTTTATATATATGGAATGTTACTCATGTACTTTTCTGTAGCCTGCCTTCTTCCCTCAATATTGCTCAATAGTATGGTGTTATTTGCTTGCTTATATATTTTTTATTGTGGTAAAATTGCATAACACAAATTTTATGATTTTAGCTGGGTTTTAGGCACACAATTCAGTGGCATTAAGTACAGTCACATGGTTGTGTGATATTGTGTCTTGGAGACTCATCAGCATTAGTGATATTTTCATTTCTCCTAAGTGTTCCACTCAGTGAATATTCCACTGGGTGAACATACTACACTTTATTGTTCAATCTACCATTTATGGACCTATGGGTTCTCTTTTTCTTTTTCTTTTTGTTTGCTGTTACAGATAGTAGTGTTTGAACCTTCTTGCACCTGTGTCCTGGGGCACATGTGTGAGAATTGTTAGTGCATATAACTACTGGTAGAATGAATGGGTTTTACTTGCTTAATTTTCTAGAAAGAGACATAGGAAGGTATTCCTTGTGTAATGAAATTTCCATTTAGAAAAAGAAAAGCAGGGGCGCCTGGGTGGCGCAGTCGGTAAAGCGTCCGACTTCAGCCAGGTCACGATCTCGCGATCCGTGAGTTCGAGCCCCGCGTCGGGCTCTGGGCTGATGGCTCAGAGCCTGGAGCCTGTTTCCGATTCTGTGTCTCCCTCTCTCTCTGCCCCTCCCCTGTTCATGCTCTGTCTCTCTCTGTCCCAAAAATAAATAAACGTTGAAAAAAAAATTTTTTTTTAAAAAGAAAAAGAAAAGCAAAGAGAAGTTGGGATGGCTTCATAAAGTGGAAGAGCAGGGAACAATCTCTGTGAGATAGGAAGCAGAAAGGAACAGGAAGAGCAACCCAGACATGTCTGCAGGCTGAGTCCAGAAGGTATTGTCAAGCATTCATTCAATCCAGCACATGCACCGTGCACCAAATATGTGTCTGTCTCTGTAAGTGCTAGAGTTAGCAGTGGACTGGAACTCAAGAGACCTAGGCTTTCTCTCAACTTTGCCACAAAGAGCAAATTATTTCACCTCGTTGGCCAGTGGTTCTGACGTCCGTAAGATGAGTAGATACACCGGGAGGATCAAAAACCTTCCATCCAGCTCTGCTGGTTTGGGATCCCAAGCTGGTTGAAGTAGGAAGATAAAGGCTTGCCAGGAGTAGTTCTAATCTAGGGTCCAGACAGGAAATAACTCTGGATTCAAAAACAAAAAGGACCAAAGACAATTACTGGGCTCAGCTCTAGTGAGCCAGCAG